ACTGAAGCAGGCGGTTCGAGGGCAAACGGTTTTTGTTTGTTGTTTGAGCACCTACTGCCAAAGCCTGGGCTTGAGGACTGTTTGGACTGGGAGGTGCTTCACACACAAAAATACTCAGTAGAACAGACTCCAAGCAGAAAAGCCCAGCTGGTCTGTTGCCTCTCTCAGAGAAACCCAAAGCAACCGCCCCCCCTCCACCGTTCTCGGGGTGACTTTCCAGGCAAGTGTATTCAGACCCAATTACACCATTCCAGTAGCCAGTGAGTTTTAAAACCCACTGGAATGCTGATTTTTCCGAAAAAGGGTGGGGGACTATTTGGTTCCTGCTGGAATGCTGATTTTTCCGAAAAAGGGTGGGGGACTATTTGGTTCCTGCTACTAAATCCCAAGGCTCGCTTTTCGAAGGGGGAGATTCGCTTGGTCCCCTTCTCCCGCTCCACTTCCCATCCCGCCTCGATGTCGGTCCGCAGCACCTCCCAGCTTCGTCTTGTATCCAGTTCGCGGGCAACGGATTTACAGCGGGGAAACAAATTCTGTTTGTTGACTCCCTAAGTACAAAGCCCCCAGCATTTGTTGCACAGCTGTCCTCCCAGGGTGCTCGCAAAAGTGCCCTAAAGAGGGGTTCCCCAAATCCAGTACCTACTTTCAAGCCTGAAATTCCGTCTCGGAGCCCTGACTTATTTTCTCAAGCCTTACTTATACATGCTACCTGGAAATGACAAGATCATCCTCTAAACCCTTTGACTAGATAGAGACCTTTTTTGGGGCCCCCGGAACGCCCAGGTTCTCCGAATCCTTCTGAGAACCCGTCCTTGGTGGGCGAATCATGCTTCCAGGTCGATACGCGGCGCGGCGCGCCGCGCGCCGCGCCTCGCGCACAAAGTCCTTGGGGGCGCTGAAGTACACGAAGGCGCCCCCCTCCCGCTCCCGCGGCACCATCTTCTCCACCTGGCACCCGGCCAGAGCCCGCAGGCTTCCGACTCAACCATATGGCCATGGGTCAAAACCCAAATCGTACCCCCAGTGAACATCCGATTCAATCCCCACTAAAATAGGTTCTAAAATGGGTGGTTCACCTACCCCAAAATGGTACCTTTGGTTTTGACCCACAGCCATATAGCAGGTTTGGGGTGGGAAGTGAACCCTAGCCGCACCCTCCTTGTCCATTCTCAAGGATCTTTCTGTTCAGAAAAGGGTAACCCAAAACCTGAAAGTCCCAGGCGAACATGGGTGGCTTCCGAAGAGAACGCGCTGGGCGGTTTCAGAAGGATTGGGAGGCAGCCCATTTTGACAAACTTGGCGCGGGACTGGGTCTGCACCAAACGGCCAGTGGATGAGCAGATCAGATATAACCGCGCATGACATGTAGTGCTTGAATGGATGGGATTCGCGAAGAGGCGAGGGGATCATACCACTAGCCGACCCGGGATTTCTCCCAAATCAACAGCTGCTTGATTTACTGGTGGGTTCTCTCAATTCCCTTTTGAAAGGCCCAACACGTTGGAAACTAAGTTGGACACCAAACGTGCGGGTGCACCACATGCAGCTTGCCCAGTTTCGGTGGTTTCGTTGGGATTGTTCGAAAGCTGCGGGGTGCTATCCCCAGGGTTTCGAAATTCAAATCCCAGCAATCCAAATCACCAAATCAAGCCTGGGCTACAGCGCTCGTGCTTTAAGTACCCTCACCTCCCGCACCTCCCTCACCTCCCTCACCTCCTCCCTCACCTCCCTCACCTCCCTCACCTCCCTCACCTCCCTCACCTCCCTCACCTCCCTCACCTCCCTCACCTCCCTCACCTCCCTCACCTCCCTCACCTCCCTCACCTCCCTCACCTCCCTCACCTCCCTCACCACAGAGTCCAACACCCCCCTTGTAAAAAATGAAAAAATGAAATGTGTCAAGTCCCGAAACCGCCCATTTGATTAAGCCCCCCAGCAAAAGGTAAAGTCCGTTTAAAACCGAAAGGAAAATAAACAAAACATATTCATGTTCAGCAAATGACTCAAGGACGTCGAAATCCCCTTGGCTCCGGCAACCACCAAAAAACAAACAAAAAACAGAAGAACAAAAAATGAAGAAGAAACAAACTTGGAGAAAAGAGTCGCCTTCACCCCCGCGGGCAGCAGCTTGGGGATCAGCGTCTCGTGGTTGTGGTGCGTCAGCATCTGCCGGAAGTCCAGGCGGAAAGCCTTGGTGGGGTACCTCGGACCCGCGCTCTCAGGAACCCCATCGCTCCAGGAGGTTATTTGGACAAACGAACGAGTGGGGATACGGAGGGAGCGGGTCCCGATATGGGGGGAGTCCAACTTGGCGCCATTTCCCATATCAAGCTTAGTCAAGGTGCATGAGGTGGTTTTCCAGGAGCCAAGTACACCACAAAACCCGGAAATTGGGGTGGGGAGGGGCAAACACCAAGCCAAATACATGGAATTGTGAGCTCTTCCGGGGCAAATGTTCTGGAGATGGTGCTTAGATCCGCGACCTCTGTTGGTTTCACCCACGAAGCGTTGACCTGAAATGTTCACCTTTTCCACAAGTTTGACAAAGGGAGGTGTTCCTTTTGGCTTTCCGGCTAAACCAATACTTTGCCGCAAGGCAAAAATATGTGTCCCTTTTGGTGTCTTTCCCGCCAAACTGAAACATCTCTTGGCCCTTTCGCCTGCATCTTCCCAGCAAGGTGCACGTTGGCCACCCACAGCACTCCCCGGGCAGATGCCACGGAAGGCTTCTCTGGCTCCTCAAAAGCCTGCCAGCGTTTCGTCTGACAAATAATTAGGGCTCGGCCCATTTGGAACAGCGCTTTGGGAACTGGTATCCACTATGACTCAAAGGCCGCGAGTCAGGCTGGCAGTTGCGACATTCTCTCAGCAAGTGTTACCCAGACACACCGAGCCCTGAAGACTGCATTCAATGGTGGGGCCACCCATTGGTGTAAACATGTTTAAACCACTGATTATGATGATTCTTCCCTTGTAAAGGTGGTGTTTATTTGCCCCACCCACGCATTCAAGCAAGTTGAAGAGATATACGACGAAGGCGAAAGCCGGTTGGTGGTTGTCGAAAAAGTGAACAAATCGAAAGGAACACACCGCCGGTGCTGTGCTTTGGGGTTTTGCTTTAGGGCCTGAAGCCACAGGACAAAAAAACTCTTCCGCGATTAGTGCGGCGCGCTCGGCAGAACCGCTCTTTCACAAAAAATATCCAGCCCAATGAACATGATGTTTTCTGCTTTCCGGATGCGTCCTCAAAAATTTTGCAGTGCCAAGGACGGGTTTAAGATCCCGGTTTTCAGTTTCCCTCTGCTTTCCCAGTTGATTCGGGAAGCACAGTTTAGCATCTCGGACCTAGGCTTTCGTATCGTTAGTCTTGTTTTCAGGGAAGCAGTTGACGAGGACGACTGGGGCCTGGCGTCCCAAGCGCATTTTAGCACCTTGAACCTCAATTTAGGGTGCGGATTTATTTCGGGAATTGTGTTTTCGTTTTTTTTTCCCCCCCCCCCCGTCCGGGCCAGTAAAATGCTGTATTTCACAGATTATTTTATTCAAAAATAAAAACTCTATTTACTTTTGTTCGCCTTGTTCTAAGTTGTCGGACCAAAGAAATAGACCATTGTTTTGAGCCAGCCGCATTTCAAGTGCACCCGTCCTCCTCCTCTTTTGCGGCTTCCAGCACATCCTGCCTCAGCTTACGAGCCGTTTGAAGCCTCCAATCGAGAATGTGCCAAAATAGGGATCTGGAAGAACCAAAATGGATCTTGGCTTTCCTTTCGCTTCCTTTTGAACACATCTGAAAATTGGTTCCCCGGCCCGCCCGCTGTCCAAAAAGGACAACTGCGCATCTTGACACGTCGATTTAGAATTTGAGGCTCTCAGAAGCATCTCGCGAAGTCGAAACAAACACAAGCGTACAGAAGCACCAGCAATCCTTTGCTCCACTCCTTTGAGCCTCCAAACTCCTTTGACCGAAGCCAGGCCTCTTGCAACGCTGGTTTCGCCCAAAAAACGGGCACGTCCCTCGCGATGCCTTCCCATGGAGCAACAGCAGAAAGATGGCTCTTGATGGCTGTTTTCCCGGCGACCTGTGGATGGTTGCGAAAGTCCGAGACCGCACCACTTTGAAAGTATTGGAAGCCGTTGCTGGTTGGTATTTACGAGGGAATAATCATCATTCCAGCAGTTCTTAGGTGGTGCAGGATTTCTCCCCGTGCGTTCGCGCTTGAAACCCCACGCCCGGGCAACCAGAAGCCCACGCTGTCGGCCCGCCCGAAGCCCTCCTTTGAAGCGGAAGGTGAGCGGGTCGGCCCGAAACGCTCACCCGACACCTGAGTCATAATCAAAACCCGGTTTAGTAAAATGGTCCAAGCCCAGAACCATGCTTCAAGAATTGAACAGGCGGATCTCACCCATCTATGGCAAGTTGTCCCGTACCCTCCAATTGCCCGAGGTTTGATTCTGGAACCCATCTATTTCCAACCAAACCTTCAATTTGCTTAATATCCCGAGGAAAAAAAAATAAGCCCTGACACCTCCAGCGAGCGGCCTTCCCCCAAAAAATACATAAAATGGCACTTCTCACATCAAACCCAAATAATCAAACAGCATACAACAAAATCAGCAAAATTCACAGAAAACAAGATAAGAACCACCAAGCAACTCAAAAACCAGAACAACCCCCAACAAAATATTTAATCAAAGCATAAAACATTAAATAATTCAAACAAGCATACCAACAAAACAGCAAAAATAAAATACCATCAAAGAACACAAACTCAAAAACACACAAAATCAAAAACAAAGCAACATACCATCAAAAAATATCAGAAGAGTATCAAACAAAATAAAATACAAACAGCCAAAGCACGAAAAAATCAAAAGAGCATACCAAGTTCAAACAACGCACTTTGAAAGAGTCAAGCAAATTAAGGAAAATTAAAATATTTCAATCTTTACAAACCATAAGTATAGTATAATTATAACATATAAGATTTTACATGTTATTATTATAGTATGATTAAACATTATGACTTATTGCTGTTCTTCAATAACAAAGTGATGTTTTACTCCATGTTCCAAACAGAATTTCACTTCCACCATGCCCGTTTTTTCCTTCCACCATCGGTGGAAACCCTGTAAAAAACAGCATTTCCACCATGCGCGTCTTTTCTTTCCACCATGCACGTCTTTTCTTTCCACCATGCACGTCTTTTCTTTCCACCATGCCTATTTGTTCCTCACAAGATGATGTTTGCAGTCTTCGTCAGTTGTTGATTTAACATGAGGAATTGTTTTTCCATGCTTCGTGTCTAGGAATAGTACCATGTTGGATTTACAACCCCGCTCGCTACATTTTTTCACAACAAAACCTATTAGCGTCAGGTCAAACTCACCAAGATTTCACTAATTAATTCACTAGGTAGTTTATATAAATCTTCCTGCTTATGTATTATTGCATTGTCTCCCCAATTTTCCTTGTTTCCATTTGGCAGTCTCTGCGCAGTTTCAATATGTTTATTATTCCTAATTTTCCCGCAATCCTTTTTACATAAATCTCTAGGTGTCCATGTTGTAATGTTATTCCAAAGCCTAGTTCTCTTTCTGTAAGGCATTCCATATTTACAATAATCTACATCTTTAAAATCAAACTCATCCATAAACTCCTGATTTTTTAATAATCCAGTTTGGGGATTTTCGATTACAAAATACCTAGGATTAAAATATTTGATAATTTCAATAGTTTTTAAGACAATACTATTTGCATATTCGATATTCCTAGTTCCCCTAGTTTTTGCTATGCTGTATTCAGTGCATGGGGGACTACTCCAAATAAAATCAAAATGGTTCCTATCAAATTGTTTATAATCCCATTTCAAAATATCAGTATTTATATCAGCATTTTTCAAATCCAATGAAATAACATTGAAACCCATTGCTTTTGCAACAAGTCCAACACTGCCGGTCCCACTAAACATCTCTAATAAGTTCATTATTAAAGATATTTAGATAATATTATCTATGAATAAAAATCCCTGTTTCCTCGTTAAAAACTATGTTTAGTGTTCAATGAGTAAATGCAACTTTATGAATAAAGTTGAGTTTCCTCATCATAGTCAATTTGATAAAATGTCATAGTTGAAGCCTTCGGTTCTTTAATTTCTTTGTTATTAAGTTTGTTTAAATAAATATTTCTTTTATTTTTATATTCCCCATTGGTTCTATCTACTTCTTTGCTTTGATAACTGTTTGTTAATGGTTTCTTCTTTTCCATTTCTTGTAAGATTTCTAAAATATTCTTATTCTGTTCTAAAACCTTGTTCAGTTTTTTAACAATCTTATCTAATCCTTCATCCATGTAAATATATATATATTATATTATAAAATAAAACTTTTAAAACTAAACTTTTATTTTACAAAATCATATATCATTATAAGTCAATTCAAAATTAGTTATTGTGTAACTCGTTAAATTATTATTCAATTTACCAATTAAATTACAAATAATAGTTTTTCTAAATTTTGAATATTTATGAAACTTTTCAATATTATCTGTAATATAAATTATTAAACATTTAATACATTCAAACACATTAACAACATTAATGTTACTATTTTTGTAAATATTATTCATTTTTCTCAATGTAATTTCATAAAACTGAATAGCATTTTGATTATCATAATTAGCAATAAATCTTAAAGTATATGAATATATTCTTTTACAATAAAATTTTAAATCTGATTGTTCAAATAAATCAGCATAATTAATAGAATTATAAAACATGTTAAAATCAATTTTACTATTTCTAAAGTCATTAACAAAATTAATTAATATATCATTTTCGTTATATTCTTCAATAAAATTGTTTAATTTCAAGTCTTTTACATCAATGAATTTAAGAATATTATTTATACCATCTTGCATTATAAATAATAATAGAAATAATTTTAACTATTGTTTTTTCATCATTCTTTCTCAGGTGTAAATAACCTACCAAATCCACTTTTGAAGTTTTCTACCCAACTTTCTTCAACTGTGCTACCGTCAGCATCTTTCTTTTTTACAGTATGGACTGTATGCATGTTTCGACCACATGAACACGGCCAACATTTAACTTTGACATGTTCTTTATCTAACTCTAATTCATTTAGTGGTTTAATTGCTTGACCGCATTTATCGCATTTGACACATTCAATCTCTTTTTGCTTCTCTTGCTTCTTCTTTGGAGGCATTTATATTAATATTTACATTTTTATTTTTGATATATTGTATCACAAACTTAATTAATTCTAAAATAAAATAACATATTTTTTTGAATCTATTATTAGTTATAACAACCCGTTCTATATTTTCTACTTCATTTATTATATCAATATAATCTGAATAACTTCTATTCATATAAATAATAAGATAAAATAATTATTTAATCTTATTATTTTCATGCATAATAGAATATTGGTGGGGCTCAGCACTGGGGTTTTCTTTACAATGCATCAAACTAATTAGCTTCAATGCTTATTGATTGAATCAATGGAAAGCCTGTTCCATTTTATGATATTCACCACCAGTCATATCATAAAACGATGTTCCATTAATATTAAATAGAATATGTATTTAAACTATTTTCTTTAGTAAGTTTTACTGCAGTTGATATACTAACATCTAGGATATTATTATTAGTAATTTCTTGTACACTATTTATCATATCATTTGTATATATATATAGGAATAATCTTTCATAAAATTTACTAATTTATTATAATTTAGGGTATCCTCGTTTTCGATTGATGATTTAGATATTATAATATTTTGTTTTTTAATTATCGATAAAAACAATAAAATCGTATCATAATATACTTGGCCAGTATCTGGAACTAAAATATCACCAAATTTATATATAGTTCGAATACTATCTACTTCACTTAAATTAATAGACTCTATATATTCTATTGTCATTATGATATAATTATATTATATATTTTTTTATTTATAAGTATTTATAATATTATTTTTATTATGCCTGATGTAAAACCAATTGATGAAATCAAATATGACTTTAAGCAAAGTAAGCACGAGGTCGTCCCTAAATTGCCGATGAGAGCTATGATTGTAGGCCCGTCTGGTTCTGGAAAGAGCACCCTACTTGTATCAATGATACTTGATATTTATAGAGGAGCATTTGAAAGAATTTTTATCTGGTCTCCATCTGTAAATTTGGATAGTATTTGGTTGCCTGTTAAAAAATACATTAAAGAAGGTTTGAAAGTAGATAATGATAAAGAACCGTGTTGGTGGGATGAGTTCAATGTTGAAGATTTAGAAAGAGTTATAGAAACTCAAAATAAAATAATTGAATACCAGAAAAAACAAGGAACGAAGAAATTATTTAATATTTTGATAATTTTGGATGATGTATCTGATAATCCAGCAATAACAAGAAATAACAAATTGTTAAATTCTTTATTTTGTAGAGGTCGTCATAGTGGAATATCAACGCTTGTCAGTCTTCAGAAATCATCAAGTGTCCCACCAATTATTAGAGTAAATATAAGTCATTTGTTTTATTATAAAGTTAGAAATTTTAAAGAGATAGAAATATTGCAAGATGAATTATCAGCAATTGTTAGAAGTGATAATTTACTAGAAAGCAAGAAACTAATTTATAAAATATATGAGACTGCAACTGAT